AACTCGAGGGGGCCAGGAGGGATGGAGGCAGGGGGTCGAGGACTTGAAGGAAATGCTGAGTTTATTTACCTGCCTGTCTGAATCAGCCGCTGGAACAGTTAACCGTTTCGTACACACCGACACAAAGACAAAAAGGCACTTCTTGCTGAGATATATGTAAGCTGCACCTGCACTACATCTAATGTTTCCGGTTGACTTTTAAAATGATACTCCACCTTTTTTGGAAATAGGCTCATTTTAAAACTCCCTCAGAGTTAAACAGATGAGTTTTACCGTTTTCGAATCCATTCAGACGATTTTCTGATTTTTAGAAGAATCTCAGTAACCAGACAGTTTCTGGTCTCATTGACTTCCATAGTAGGAAAAAAATATACTATGGAAGTCAATGAGACCAGAAACAGTCTGGTTACTGATATTCTTCTAAACATCAGAAAATCGGCTGAATGGAACGGTAAAACCCAACTGTTTAACTCTGGGGGGAGTTGTAAAATGAGCCTATTTGCCAAAAAAGGTGGAGTATCATTTTAAAAGTCAACCGGAAAGGTTGCGAACCGGCGAAGGCCTCGATACATTTAAGACTCAATTCCTTTCTTTTCTTTAATTAGAATCCACCCACGCTGATAAAAAGCAGTGTATTTCCTCGCAATAGCAAAATAAACACACAACAAAAAATGCCAGGTTAGAAAACAGCAGTTAAGAAAGCATCTGATCATAGCAACATGAATGTGTAGGCTATGTCAAGTCATGCTTGTTTACATAGCATTTTGAACAATATAAAAGTGTTTACCAGCCAGAGTGAACTTTTCCAGAAAGTTTGCTTTGGCAGGCTGTTTTAATCTCCCGATATGAGCTCCAAATGAACTTAGTTTTGGCCTGATTTTGTTTAAAGGGATACTCCACTTTTTTTGGAAATAGGCTCATTTTACAACTCCCCCAGAGTTAAACAGTTGGGTTTTACCGTTTTCGAATCCATTCAGACGATTTTCTGATTTTTAGAAGAATGTCAGTAACCAGACCGTTTCTGGTCTCATTGACTTCCATAGTATATTTTTTTTCCTACTATGGAAGTCAATGAGACCAGAAACTGTCTGGTTACTGACATTCTTCGAAAAATCAGAAAATCATCTTAATGGATTAGAAAACGTTAAAACTCAACTGTTTAACTCTGAGGGAGTTGTAAAATGAGCCTATTTCCAAAAAAAGTGGAGTATCCCTTTAAAATGACATCACACCAGTGAATTCTTTGATTTAGTTAGAAGCATATCAGTGCCTTAAGTTTTCCAGCAAAAAAACTAAACAACCCCCCCAGCAAATTAGGGCAAGAGGAATCTTCAAGATCATGTGAAAGAGCATGAATCTCATGGCTTGTTGTTCCAGCAGTCATGCTCTTGTGCTCGGATGCTTTGTAATGTTGAAAAAGTAGCCCTGGTCTACAGCTGACATAGACAGAGCGGCCCACTAGAGAATGGAGGCAACCCTTGTATTTGTAACTGTCAGGGAAAAACAGTTGGACACATGACCTTGTGTGCGTCCTTGGTGACTTGACAGTGTGTGTACACACAAGCAGCAGGGCAGAGACTCTCGCAGCTGCCGCCATTTTACCTCATCACATGACTGTTTACATCAAACGCCTGAACCCACAAGTCAGCACCGGTTTTCTATGAATGATATTGTTATATGCTAATCTATATCTTTTTTTTTTTCATGAGAAACCATAGAAAAAAAACCCTTGAAAATATCCTTCTGATGTCCTCATAAAGGGCAGAGTCACTTCAACATCCATCACTGGCTCATAACGGTTTGGCCTAGATTTCCAAATATCAAGAGAGAGAAGGGGGTGGTGTGCTACTGTAACATGCCAGTTATACTCCAAGCAGATGAGAAGCGACTGAGGGTGAACCGCTTATCTGATCACAGGGGTAAAGATGGTGCTACTCCGTTAGGACCAAGAAAGAGGGCAACGCACTTCCTGAAAAAAGATAACCAAATCAACCATATCAATCATAAAAACGGAAACCGGATTCAGAAACCCCTGCGAAGCGAAACATCTATTGACACAGGAGCTGGTGCAGTCACCCCAGAGGACTAGCCCGCAGGGCTGGAGCCGACACCGCTTGGCACTGAGAGCTCTGCGAGGGTACCCAGCATGTCACCTAATGAGATGCACAAAATGAGATGATTAACCATCTGCATCTTTTATCTCCAAGTGTGTGGGTACATGTGTGTGACAGGCCAGCCTTCACACACAGCACTCTGCTCCCTTAAGTGTGTCAAACACATTTCAATGCTGCAGAAGGAGTGAAACTGCCTGCTAAGACAAGAATAACTACTGCTCGTCTCAACAAACCCTTAATTCTAGCTACAAAGGTTTGGTGTGTGTTATACACTGTTTGTGCTACGGATATGAATGTTCTCTCAAATTGTGGCAAATTGTATTAATCAGGGCTGTAGCACTTGAGTCTGGTCTTGGACTCGAGTACGGACGGTTTTTCTATGGACTCGGACTTGTCCCGGTCTCGGCCATTGGTCTTGCCAAATATGTTAATGTTAATAATATTGAAGGAAAAGTGAAACACTGGCCACCTAATAACCAATCACACTAGATTATCCTCACAGATCATGCTCTGTGTCTGCATGCACGCTAATTTTGCATTTGTAAACTTTGCATCAGCCTAATGTCATAAAGTTATAAGTTCGATTACGTATGGAGGTAGTAGCTAGCTGTTTGGCTGTGTGTATGACACGTTAAAGGTGGTTCATTTGGGTAACGTTGATGTTATCTGACATCGGTGATGATTTCCTTTAGTTTTAAATTGACAATAGAAAATGTGTTTAGGGACAAACAGAAATATTCTCCAGGGCGCGCCTACAGAACCAATGAGAGTTTATTTATTACTAGACTATTAGGGTAACGTTAACTTAGAAAATGCCAAAATAAACCGACCAAGTGCTCACTACGGAGCGCGTCTTCTTACTAGCTACTAGTTGTGACACTTTTGCTTTTAGATCCACAAATAATACCCAAAATTACTGTCTTGATAATGGCAAACATAGACTTTTTTTTTTATTTTCCTGTCCTGGACTCGGTCTTGACTTGGACTCGAGCCTTTTTGGGCTCTGCCTTGACTTGGACTCGACTAGTCCTGGTTTTGGACTTGTCCTGGACTCGAAAGTCTTTGGACTCGGTCTTGACTTGGATTTGACTAGTCCTGGTATTGGACTTGTCTTGGACTCGACAAAGGTGGTCTTGACTACAGCCCTAGTATTAATTATCTAAGTGAGCTGACATCTTTCGCCTGGCAGGAAATAAAATGCACTAGTTATTATTTAGCTGAACTGTATACATTTTAAGTTCAGCTGAAGTTGTAGTTAAGAAGTTATATTACAAACAATACAGTTCAAAAGTTTGGGGTCAGTAAGATTGTTTTTTTAAACAAATTAACCTTATTTAGGAAGGATGCATTCAATTGATCAAAGGTGACAGTGAAGATTTTGTATTGCTACAAAAACAAAAACGATCTATTTCTCGAAGAATTCTGAAGAAAAAAAAATGTATCATCATTTCAACACAAACATTAAGCAGAATGAACATTTTTAACATTAATAATAATAAGAAATGTTTCATGAGCACCAAATCTGCTTATTATAATGATTTCTGATGGATCATGTAAAATAATGGCTGTTGAAAATGCAGCTTTGCCATCACAAAAAATGCATTGCTTTTTAAACGTAATAAAATAGAAATCAGTTATTTTAAACTGTAATATTATTTCACAATATTGCTTATTTATTGTATTTTTTTATTAAAAAAAAAAAAATGCAGCTTTGGTGAGACTTCTATCAAAAACAAAAAAAAAAAAGATCCCGACCCCAAACGAAGTGTGTGTCTAACTCCCTTTGATAGATGACCAATAATTAAGAGCGTTTTCTGTTTTCGAACAAATTACAAACTTGCAATTCTCTGCATCGAGCATTATATAAAAAGTGAGAGACTAACATAACTTCTCATTTTGGGTACAACTGCATTGGCCCAGTGAATCCAGACTTTTTCAACTTCACAGAAACTATAAATCAAAGTATAAAAATGTAAACATAAACAAAACTGAATCACAGAATCTCCCCTAAATCAACTACACAAGATAATCTCAATCAAACCTTGCCATCATGATTTCAAACAGCATTTGCACTGTCAAGCACAACCTCCAGAGAGCGTGTGCTGGCCTGTGGAGGGCGAGTGTTGTTTGGGTGTTGTTGAGGTCAGTAAAGGCTGTTGTTGGAACATCAAACATTATTTTGCAGCGATGCAATGCAGCGGTGTTTTTGCACTCTACTATGATCATGCCTACCTCCTACATAGCAACAGAGATAAAAGGATGACTAATGTGTCCAGTGCAGAAAAACATGCATTTAACACTTGTGTTACAGCTTGAAGACGTATAAGGCACACAAGGGCCAAATGCAAAACAGCTATTTATGGATTTCCAGGTTGCAAGGTTCCCTATAAAGGTTCAGTGTGAATCTAAAAAGCTTCCATCTATTGTCAAGGGGGGAAAAAAATGTTCATGAAACACATCACAAGTGTATTCACTATGTCTGTCTTTCATTTTTCACACTTGGGTTGATGTGGCCCAGTCACAGAGCCCACTGCTGTCAGACCAGCTTAAAGATCAGATGGTATTAAAGCCTGCAGTCGTCATGGAGACCACTTCCAGGAGACAACTAATTGATCTCACTTCCGTTCCACTCATGCTAGTGGTGAGAAGGTGTGAAATACAAAACATAATAAGAAATATATAGATGTCTATGCATAGAAGCTGCGAAACAACATTACTTACTGATCTCTCAATGTGAGACAGAAAGAAAGAAAACATCTGTATTGAATTTTAAAACCAATACAGATCTCTTGATGTACAGTATACCCCACTACAATAGCAGAATCCCATGACGGAGCCCCACTTTTGCTGGTGGAAATGAAAGAATGTTGAGGGAATAGCACTAACCTGCGTTGCCTGTGCTGGGGGGCCTCTGTGGGGGCCCGCCAGACACGACGTTTCTGTGCAGAGAACCCTGAGGAGGAGACAGCATGGCACCGTCACTCAGAGAGGCAGTGGCGACCGACAGGCTCTGGCTGCTCAGAGAGGCCCCGGGGTTGTAGGACATGGCATTGGGGTTCGTCACTGGCACAGCCACATGCATGGAGAAGTTCTGCGGGGGCAAGGCCGTCGGCTGGAAGAGAGACACACACATGGCTTTATGTCAGACTGATATTTTATCTAAGTATCCCAGTTTCAAAATTGACATTCACAAAGATAACCGCAGAGTCATATCTCAACAAGAAACGATATAATCATTTAGCCTGGATATTCAGGTAGAATGGCCCATAATGGTGCACTGCACATATCTTCAGGCCTCTACAAGAAGTGAAAGATGACCCCTGAGCTTAGATGCTTTTATCATACAATGGAGGAAAACAGGAGATAGATTGCTGGGTGGAAAAATGTAATCTCAGGGGGGGATTTCTACGGATCACCTTGGGCTGTCCAAAAAGCCCGGCACAAAGTGAGAAATACTCCTAGAAAACAATTCTACTATTGGGAGTCATTTTCTTTTTCTTTTTTTTTTTTTACCCAGGCTTAATACTCAAAACACCATCTTGAGATAAGATATATTAAGAAGGCATGCAAATTTGGGAAATTTCTTCAAATAGTCAATTTCTCTCCAGTCAAGTATGGCTATAGCCAGCACTGCACTTGACCGTTTTCACAAAACAAATAAAACGCACACAAAAACGAACAAGAATGAAATCATACGACAACAACAGTGGCACCTTAAAGGGATAGTTCACCTAAAAATGAAAATTCTGTCAGTATTTACTCTCCCTCGTGTTGTTCCAACCCCGTAAGACCTTCGTTCATCTTCAGAACACGAATTAAGATATTTATGATGAAATCTGAGAGCTGGATCACTCCACCATACTAGTCCATAGGCTTCTTGAGGGAATGAAACTTGCCGGCCTCAAAAAGTTATTAAAGACATTGTTAAAATAGTCCAAGTGACTACACACACATTTCCAGCATCGGCCAATAGTGAGCCTACGTGTGACGTAGCTCTACGCAATAACATTAGTTTAACTGACTAGAGGCGCAAAAGAAGGAAGTGAATAGTTTTTATCGATGTCTTTAATAACTTTTTGAGGCCGGCAAGTTTCAATCCCTCAAGAAGCCTATGGACTAGTATGGAGGAGTGATCCAGCTCTCAGATTACGAAGATGAACGAAGGTCTTACGGGGTTGGAACAACATGAGGGTGAGTAAATACTGACAGAATTTTCATTTTTGGGTGAACTATCCCTTTAATCAAAGGAACAGGCAGTGCATTGCTGACCATCCATTGAGTTATCCAGAGTGAGTGTGAGCAGGGGCAGTGTGAGGCCACTCAATTCACTTAATAGTGCAGCGAGCCAGTTAGTGAGTATATTAGTATGTTAATAACTCAAGCTTTGTTATTATCCATTCGGTGCAGTGAAAATAATCGTCTGACACCATCTATCAGGTGCAGAATGTTATAGTCGTCACCTAATAAGATCACTAATATTACTAGCTTGAACTTGAAAAAGGTTCAGTTATTTGATTGTGCTTGGATTCTGGGTTCTGGAAGGCCTACTGGAACAAACAAACCCAGGTTTTTCCACCCACCAGAAAAGTGAGACAAAAAGAAATCGCTCCATCTTTATTCAATGGCAAATCTTCTCCATCACACGACCTGAACCGAGCACAGCACTGAGAGAAAAGATTCAATTTCCAGATCTTTTGGGGAGAGTGCTGAGATGAAGACATCAATTACCTGGACATCGAGGCATTCTCTCCACTCGTACGTTTTACAGTACTTTAGGTCACTAATCAAATAAGCACATTTGTGGGGGGAGTTTATTCACTTTTTACTTGTATAGTATTTAAAAAGTGTATCTTATTATTTTAGAAATTTATCAAAAAGTTTGCAAAACAATGTGATCTTATTAGGGTCAGAGAAAAGGGCTGCAAAATTAAAGAGAAAAAAAGTGCACTTCCAATGGACAAAAAAAAAGAGTATGCTTTAAAAAAAAAAAGGTCCTTATGTGCTGACAGTGGTTGCAGGGTGAGGCAATGAAAAAGGGGGAGAGGGGGGAGTATCCTTTCTGCCACAAAGCCAAGCAAAAACATTGCATTTACTTACGATTTTATGATTTCGCATCATATTATCAAACTCTTCATTAATTTTTTTATATTTTTCTTCTGTGTGAGGGGTGAGGACATATGAGGCGTCAGGATCCGGGCTATCACAGCCTCTGTGTTCTTTCTTGTTAAGCGCCTGTAGTAAACATCAACATAAAAAGAGGGATCAACACAAAAAGGCAGGGAGGAAGCAGTACTTACACCACAGCGCTTGTACATTAAATCACTCTCTTCGTTTAGTTTGCCGAAACGATCGTCCATGAGGGGACTGTGACCGAAACAGTCATCTGGATCAGGACTGGGACAGTCATTATGGCCTTTGTTTCTTAATTTCTGAAAATGAAATTGGAAAATTCACACATACATAGACATATGTCAACCCAAACAGCTGTTACCGTTGGGTTCATTTAAACAATGCAAAAGCAATTGGCTGGTTAGTAATTATGATAATTAGCTACTTAAATAATCTAAGGAAGAACATGATTTTGATCAAATGCATTCACAGAATTTAATGATGAACTTTGCTACAATTGCATGAGAACACGGAGGAGCTGCGATCAGGATGTTGAAATTGCACTGGTAACAGTTCAATGGATAATTCGGCAAATACATTAAGAGGTAATACGCTGATGGTTGCACCATGCCTATTGCATTAGCCCCTGGGGAGGAAATTGAATTGTCACTCCTTATCCTTTCCCTTAAAAACATTAGGCTGGGAGAAAAAAAAAAAAAAAAAAGCAAATCGTCTTTTCTCTCTCTCTCTCTCTCCTCTTTGCTCTCTTCCTTAGGAACATACATTTCCCTCAGCATGTGTGTGTCGCGATGCATATTTCATTATCTTTCAGTTATCATAAGCCACCCAGCTGGAAGACACACACACATAAGAGGATCCCACAGTGCAGCGCTTTAGAAGCTCTCTCGCTGTAATTCAGCACACCTGTCACTCACAGAAGCCTATCAGAGTGAATGCAATGTACAAATTGAATGGATTATCATATCCGGTCACTGGCATTTAAGTGTGGAGAGGACTGATTCAGTTAAGGGGCACAGCACCTGATGTAATATTAGCCATTTTTTGCCCTGAAGGAGCGGAAGTATCTCTTTTGTTCAGTGGGGAATCTATGGGTAACATGTTACTTAAGGCTGGTATGGTGATTTATATTATCTATTTATAGCTGGTCCTTAAAATAGTGGAATGCATTAAAATGCATCATCACAATACATTATGCATCATTGCATTTAAAGGAAAAAGAGTTAGTAAAAATTGTATTGTAGAGTAGCCTGTTACAAGTATATACACAAAAAAAAATATGATAATGATCATTTATAAAATACATCACACAATTTCAGGCACCATTTCTGAATTATAATTGATTTGGAAAATATTCATTTAATACTACATAACTTATCTGTGTAAATAAAACATACATAATTAAATGTAAATTCATAATTTAATGAAACAATTTATGGAAAGAGAAGATACTGCATTTGCAATTAAGAGTTTATGGGATTATGAATACCCTCATAATGCAAAATGCAGTGAAAACTGAAGTAAATTGTCCAATTGTAAACTCTGCATTACCGATCAGAGCGGTTGCATCAACAAGATGACAGCGAAGGTTGCCAAAAAGGGAAATCTTAATTTTATGCCCTGATGTGTTTCTTACTATAGATCTCCAGTAATAAGACTACCTCGAGTTGGTTTGGCAGCAGAGGTCACATGTTCTTTCAGATGAAAAAGTCATGTTTTGAAGGAAGTGAAGCCCCTACACTAACAAGCCCCTTAGTCGTTGTATCTATCACGATGTGTGTGAGAGTGTAGGTACATGTGCGTGTGTGGGTGTGTGTGAGAGTGCCTGTAGAGTGCAGCTGCTGTCCTCTGGCATTTCTGTGACTGTAGAGTGAGATCTTTGTTGATCCTTATCTACTTTATCTGCAACCGAGCTCAGCACTGTGTGAAGTCAAACATCACAACGTATTCGTACAGATGCACAGGAACAATCTATACATGTGCACAATGCGTACTGCTCTGCGATGTCTAAGAAAAACAAAACAAAACAAAAATGCAAGTGGTATACTACTTACATCTACAGATATCTGGCTTTACTGGGACCATCTGTAACCATAAAGCCTTTTAGTGTGGTGCCGAAGGTGGCTCTCGCTCTCTCTTCCCGGGTCATTTCCTGTTTACAGGGCCCTGTGTGGATTTCTGAAACACTGTGTTTACCAGTGAAACTATGCACTTTCTCCCCCAGAGTGCCACAGATTCCATCAGGACCTGCAAATTATTGTCCCAACCTGCTCATTATGTGGCAAGCGCTGTGGCTGGAGCTGGGCAGAGAGGTCTGTGTGAGCAGGGCAGGGCCGCTGACTTCCACAGTAACCCTAGGGACACACCCGTCCGCTGGGGCCTGAGTCTGCAGGGAGGGGCCCCTGTGGAAATCTTAGCCTCCACATGGGCACACAGTGCTGATGAGCAAAACAACATTTCCAAACAAAGGAATGTGATGGAACTACATTACAGAGTAGACCTTAATTAGAGTAGATGCCATATTAAATTGTACATGGATGAAAACACAACTGACGTGTGTTTAAATACGTTATTAACAACTAGTTGTTCCATAAACACAGCATATAATTTTTGTAAAAGCAATTGTCACTATCTTAATTTTTCGGGAGTTAATTCAGTTGTAGAATGTAATTGTCACTCCCATGATCTGAACTCTGTGTACAGAATACGATTAGGCTGTGTGTCCACCAAAGCGTTTTTCCACGCGCCTGAGCCGCGTTTTTTAAACGCCTTGAGCGTAACGAGGCGCTGAGCGTTTTTTTCACGCCCAGCGTTTTTTACTGGTCGCCGAGAGTTGAAAAATGTTCAACTTTGGATAAAAGTAGCGCTCATCACTGTCACTTTTTACTCACCCGTCCAATCACAGTGGAGGAGGGGCGGGACTAAACTACACTGACCAACTGTCACGACATTCTTGCGGTTCAACGACATCAACCAACAGAGCTAACCGAACAAAATGGAAGAAAAATACATTTTTGTATGAAACAAATTATCTGCGAAAGTAAACTGTGCTGCGGATATTCTGTCTCATAGCAACGAAACGTGTCAACGAAAAAAACGCTGCGCTGCCAAAACGCTCTCAAGCACCCAAAGCACTACGTCTTTAGCAGAGCGTCTGGCGTTTTCAGCTGGATAAAAACGCTTTGGGGGACACACGGCCTTATGCCTGGTTCAGATTACGCAATTTTTTTTGTCTGTTACGGTAGTCACTGTGTCAGATCACGCGATTTTTACTTCTAAAATTTTGTCGTGTCATGGACAAGACACATGTCAGACTACACGTTGCTTCCTGACCAGTCATCGAGAAGGCGAAACTAGTAGCGAGGTACTTCCGGAAACAAACGTAAATAAACAATGGATGAAGTGTGAGCGGTGAGTGTTGTATAGGCTGTCCTGTGTTCAGAAAAAAGTAAAAAAAGAAAAAAAAACCCGACAATAGACACATTCCTGGATTGCTCGAAGAGGACAGTATGGGCTGTCAATCCTCCAAAGAGAACTTGAGGTAAAATATTGTTTTCTTATATATTTTCACTTTTAGTTTTAACGTTAGCACCATCGTCTCTCTTTCGTTTTGCCATTTTTGAAAGTTGTGTACGGAAAAGCTTCCATGCTCCAATTGGTCAACCTCATACATGTGACGGAACCGTCGTGGACGACCGTTAAAAAAATTAAACATGCAAGTCTTTTTGTCGTGAAGCATCGCAGCACACGACGTCGTACACCACTATACGAGATGATACAATATAATCTTGCGTCCCAACGCCCGCTATCGTTTACGAATCCCCGCGACACCCTACGTCAAACGGATCGCGCCAAAATAGGGCTAAAATCGTGTAATGAACCAGGCATTAAGCAATAAAAGGTAAACTGACGACCGAATTTAGCTGCAGAGTGTACTTGAGTCACAATCATGAACAGTTTGACAAAAGGAAGCAACACAATCGCACTAATATGCCCGAAAGAGCTAACATTCCTAGACTGACTTTAAAGTCTGAAGAACCAGGATGGCAAGCTGGTAAGTCCTTCTTAAATGGCTTGGCATGTCTTGGGTGTCCCACAGACACTGCCCGCAGCTCTATTAAATGGATCACTAATTCAGCACATGTCCAAACAGGTGTCCCTCTCCCGCAACACCTGTCAGACCCTTCACCTTACGATCCAGCCAATCAGGAGTCTCTGCACGTCAGCATGGCCATAGAAGGGCACATCATGTCAGCGCTGCATTACAGCAGATAAAAGATGCTGCCAATGAGCGACCCAAGTGAATCCATTAAATACAAGCACAGGTGGGGGCATGAGGTTGATCACGATGGATAATTTGCATTCTTAATTATACCTTTAAGTGTATGCTGCCATGATCTCTCATCAACAGGCCAAAGTGACGACTGCATGCAGCACCCTTCCAACCTTCGCTAAAATAAATTCTTTGTAAAGACAGCATCAGCTGAGATGGTGGCTGTGTTTGAAAATCAAGTGAGATGCCTCTAGACAGTATTTTTCTGGGTATTAAAGATGCGCTTGAGCATCTGAACAAACATTTGCTTAATTTAATGTTCTAAAATTGACTAATACGGTAAATTTTGCCAGGGGGAAAGGACTCATTGTTATTAGAGTTTAGAGATGGCTGGCTTATTTGGTGTATGTGTGTGTGAGAGTGGATTGTGAGTGTGTGAAAGAGGGAGAGTGAACAGTGCTGGCGTAAGCAGTTCTGGAGAGGGAGCTGAAAACTCATATTGTGTAATCTTTTTAACATGTCCCGCATGACTCTGAGTCAGTGGGACAGCTGCCATTATTAGTCCCATTATTATTATTTTTTAATAGAACGTCCGCTAGACCTGTATTGATAAATTTGGCAATCAGCACAAAAAATTTGAGACTGGCATAAAGCCAGCACGACATAACTATGCAGTGAGGAAATTCAGTGTTTGTGTGTATGTGTTTGAGATAAAAGGAGAACTGAATAACGAAAGAGAGGGAAAGAGAGAGATACTTAGAAACCAAACAGGAACACACAACTTCCCTCAAGCCACTGGAAAGATTACTGGAAAGAGAAATGCTGTGAAACA